CACACACACACACACACACACACACACACACACACACACACACACACACACATGTTGTGTTATATTTGTGCTGATAAATAAATAAAGGGAGACTAGTATAGATCTATTTCAAGCTATTTAGCTCTCATCAGCTAGCCATACCCTTACTGGGATTCGAACCTCTGCTGTATTACATCTTAGGCAGATGACTTAACTTAATTCTCTTCAGAATTGGAACCAAGTACCTTAGATCACAGCTGTTAAATCCACACCTGTAGTTTTGGAAAGACCTTAGCAGGCTCTATTGATAGGCTTAAAGCTTATCTGAATGAACCACAGGTTTCTCCTCTCTGTTATATTGTAGGACTCCCTACACTTAGTTAAACTAAGTGAAGATTAGTCAGAATCCCCAAAGGAACTAAATTGAGTGTTGCCCTTGGTATCTGCTGTGAAACTGTTCATGCTTTTCATGATATTAATCTTGCCATGATCTTTCTAAATCAAGCTTAAAAGCCCATATAAGTCCTATGACATGTTAAAAGAAAGATGCGGCATAAACAGAGTTCCTCAGACAAAAGTACAGGGCACATGTCTGTAGTTTCATTGCCACATTCATGGCTGTAGAACACATTTGTGGTTCAGACATCTGTAAGTAGTGCAGCCAGCCACAAATATCTCACAGTTTTTGAAGCATCCAACTAACAGGATCACAAAATCCTTGCCCGCTGCCAGCCTCTACTTTGCTTGCTTGCTATCGGCTTCCAAAGAAACGGGGAGGATGGGAGCTTAAGGTATTTGGGAAGGGAACTATATGGTACTGGAGGAGTTATCAGGAGTGGGTTGAATCTCACTATCTTCTGTGCACGCTGATGGCCTGTGTTTGGACTTGGTCAAGGTCAACTGTCTCTGCATACCAACTGAATGAGAAGTTTTGAAGATGCAACTCACATGACACCTTAGGGAGTTGAAGATTGGTTATTGGGTTGGGGTGACTGGGGGGAGGGTGCTGGGTAAACATTTGGTATATACTTGTTCACACCTTTTTGGCTCAGATCTTGCTTCTCTTTCACTGCTATCTTTTCATAACCAGTAAAAGTATCTTTAATTCCACAAAATGGAGTTGGGAGTTTTCTTTCTTGGTTATTGATGGAGGCACAGGAGACACCCGCATTGAGAAGAAGTGGGGAAGTACACAAAATTATCAGCTACAATGTCCTACCTATCAATGACTACTTCAACTTCAACTACAATAATACATAGGCAAACAATAGATACAAACCCAAAGTAAATCGCTCCAAACTCGATTACAGAAAATATGACTTCAGCAAGAGAGTAGTCAATGCCTAGAATGCACTATCTGACTCTGTTGTTACATCCTCAAACCCCCATTACTTTAACCTTAAACTGTCTACTGTTGACCTCACCCCATTTCTAAGAGGTCAGTAGGAGCATGCATAAGCACACCAGCATTCCTACTGTCCCTGTCCTACTGTTCCCATCTATTTGTACTCATTTCCTGGGTTCTTATTAATGTTTATTATTATTCCTGTTATCTTGTACATGAGCAACAAACTAAAT